GGTTTGTTTGCCTTTGTGGCTGTCGAAGCACTTAATCTCTTTTTGTAGAGCATGTGTTGGAGGTTTTCCTCCTTGTATCCGCTTTTTGCGCCTTCTATGGAATGCTTTGTGATTCAAAAAAAAAAGAATGAAAAGTTTTGAATTGACGTGTAATATTATTTTATTTGAGAATGTATAGTTGATAAAAAGAAAGAAAAATGAATTCTAATTTTAATGTAGGCCAAAAAGGGGTTAAACCTTATATCGGTCAATTTGAATGATGAAAAGTAACTATCACTTTGACAGTAAAAATTTATCTTTGTAAAAAATAAAGTCCATTATAAAAAAAATTTAATGTTATTTATCATTTTAATGATGAAATATCGGTGATATGATAATTTAAATAGAATAATGAAATATGACAATTCAATCCCCCACTCTCTCTTTCTCGTAAAGATTGAAATATACTTCTCAATATTCCACCTAAATTGTCATATCATCGATGTTTCATCATTATAATGATAAACATTTATCATTACAAAATGCTTTCACCTGAAAGTCTTTAGTCTATTTATTTTTTAATTACTAAAATAGTCCTCGTTTGGCCCTATTATTTGAGATTTTAATTTTTGGAAAAGTTTTTTTTTTAATGGGTGGTTGTAAAAGAATGAAAAAATTTCGGTTTATGTGTAATATTATTTCATTGTGGAATGCATGGTTGAAAATAAGAAATAAATGTATTAAAATTTTAACAGAAGCACAATGAAAAACTAAAAAAAAAATTGGTTGCTAGACTTAGGGTTTCTTTGGGAAAGATTATTTTTAGAGAATGCATAATTAAAATATAAAAAAAATTATAAATATAATTAATTGTTAAAAATGATTTTGAAGAAAAAATATTTCAAAAAAATCTCTAAAAAAACCACATTCGGAACCCGAATCCGAAAAACCTCCAATATATCGATCCTGGTGAGGCAGTGCCTCAAGGAGAAAGACGAGAGGCAGAAATGGCGTCAAATGCAGC